GTGGTGAAGCTGGGGATTTGAACTCAGGTTGTTTGTCTTTAAGTCTGATCTGGTAATCACTAACAAGATATACAAAAGTCAAAACAAAGACATTTTCAAGTTTAACTTTTGTTAATAACTAGAATATAATACATGGCTATTTTAGATTCCTTAATAGGGATGAGATATGAAACTGTTTTTCAAGTCCCTCTTGTCTGCAAACTGCAATAGGGTTTCTTTCCCTGCTAGCTCATTATGGCTCACATTCAAAAGCATCTCCTGACTTGTTCCTTCCATGGAGACGGCATTTTCTTTCCAGGGCTGGCGAAGGTGGCTGTAACGTGCTTTGGCTTGCTCCAGAGGCCCTGCAGCATCGCTGTTGCTAGGAGTAAGAGGTCTGCTACCATCTTGGCAACAGAGACCTTCTTTGTAGGTTTGCTTCTATATCAAATATTCAAAGACCAGCACTGAGGAGAAAATTGCCAGGGTCCAAGCATATAGAACAATCAGCACATTAGAAAGTCATACCAGATGGTTATCAGCCATTAAATCTCCTCTGAGCAAAATCCAAAAACAAATCCATACTAATTTTTAATAACTGGGAGGCTGAGAAAAGATGAAGGAAAGTAAGTCTTACTAGAATTTAATAGACTAATGATCTATTAACCTTTCTTTTTACTACTGAAAAGTTGGGGATGTCTATTTTGTTTGAGAATAAAGTCTAATCAAACAAGGCTTCTTCTTTGTACCTAACCCAATTAGCTTGTGTGTGTGTGTGTGTGTGTGTGTGTGTGTGTGTGTGTACATGTGCACAGTGGGTTTGCCTTGGAAACAGACCCATGTAAATATTGTATCATTACCTATCAGCAGGACACAACTGAAGAGAAACTCACATTTTATGCTAAAATGTTCATTTTTAGCTTGATAGTGATGGCTCCTTACAGGAATAGGAAACTTGTCATTGGGCCAACTAAATAATTATTTTTAAGAGAAATTTAAAGAGAATTTTAAGAGAAATTTTAAAGAGAAATAATTGTTTATGCTTATTTGAAAAGTAGATTTAGAGAGAGAGCGAGATCTTCTATCTTTTGGTTCCTTTCCCAAATGGCCACATCTGCCAAAGCTGAGCCCACCTGAAGCCAGGTGCCAGGAGCTTCTTTCTGGTCTGGCCACTGCAGCCATTTGGGGAGTGAACCTATGGATGGAAGGTCTTTCTCCTTCTTTATCTTTCTTTCCCTCTTTCTAAAACTCTGGCTTTCAAGTAAAATAAAAAAAATATATATATATTTTTAAAAACCTGTCATTTTATACAAATCATAGAAAAACCAAATTGAAAGACTCAAATGCAAAGGCATAATTTTTATATCTAGATGTATTTTACATACTCCTTATTAATCATGTGATATGAGCTAGCCGCAGAGCTCTGAAGGAGTTTATTGGAAGAAATTCCGTGAGGCCAGCACTGTGGTGGAGCGGATACAGCCACCTCCTGTGACGCCCTCATCCATGTGGGGCAGTTCTGGGGAGTCAACCAGTGGATGGAAGATCTCTCCTTTTTAAGATTTATTTTATTTCTTTCAAAGTCAGAGTTGAGAGAGAGAGAGATTCCTGACCTCACATTGCTTGTCTCTTGCTTATTGGTTTGGACAGAAATGATGACGTAAATTCAGCTTAAAAATACTTAATTTGGTAATCTAAACTTTTATCTTTAGTACTCATGTTATTAAATACATCATAGTTCACTGAAAAACATTTAAATATACTTCATAATAAAATCATTCCATGTAGTAATTAGCATTATGACTTTATCTACTATCGTCATCAGCTTGCTTACAATGCACTGGCTGTAGTCTTGAGAATTACACATAGATTTGTGACCATTTTATAACGTGTATTGTTTTCTTTGTAATTCTAATTTTTCGTGTTCTACTCAAGTGAACAGTGAATCTGATGGTCATAGTAGTTGCTATTCTGATGACTGAAGAGCTTACCCAGGTGCCACTTCAGTATGTGATCTTGAGGAAGTTGCTTTGCTTCTCTGAATCTCTGTTTTCATACCCATTGTCTAAGAGTTGCTGTCACAGTGAGAAATAAACTGGAGTAGCCAGCCCTGCTGCTGTCCCCCAGCTCTCATCATGTCTCTTAGCTTTCTGCATTGGTAGTTGTACCCATTTGCACTTGATCTTTCAGACAGCATTCTCTTTTAACTACATCTCCTTTGTTTCTGTATTTTATCATATTTATTCCTTATGTTTTCCCTTAGTAGAAGTTGGTAATGTTTATGGCGTTTACCTGCACAGCTTCCACTTTCTTGGAGTTGATTCGGAATGGGTGAGGTGAGGCATCCTCTCTTCTCCATCACTCTTTGTCAGCTTTCACTTGAGTCCAGTTTTGTCTCCCCTCAATCCGAGTCCAGACCTCATTGTCCAGTCTTAAGGAGGAAGGTGATCAGCCAGATGGAAGGTCCGTTGTTCTAAAAAGACAGCTTTTGTGGCATTCCTTAAGAGGTGTCACAGGGTTCAAGTGTTTGAGAGTTACCCATCCCTTCCATCCCTCCCCTCCCCCAGGTGGCTGATGTCTTTCACCTGTGCCATAGCAGAGTTTTCATCTTGTGAGAAAACTGTCTCCTCTTTACTCCAGTTTTTCTCTCTGAGTCATCCTAAAACATCATCCCAGCTTACCGAAGAAACAGTGACTTAAAGTAGCCAGGTAATTGGTACTGCGTTTCTGCTCTGACCTTGTCCAGCCCGGCATCTAGCACTCTGTCCACCTGTAGTGATCCTCAGAAAAGCTATCAGCTAGGACAGAAGGTAACACTAATACAAACACATATGTAAGTCACATTGGACATCATTGTTCAGGGTTGTTAATTAAGAGAACAGTTCAGTTTTTACTAAATGGTTAAGGAAATACAAATTGACTGTCAAATGATTGTATCATAACAATGTTACACTGTTTGCATTTTGTTTTATACCCATTGAAATGCATAACAAGTCAACCAGAAGGACAAGGCCAATTTTTTTTCCTGCTTAAATAATTTTTTTATTTTTGATGAAAAATTGCATATACATTTTATATGACAAATCAATCTTTGTTTAAAAACATGCTAGTAAAACAAAGAAGTTCTGGAGCTCTGCTTAACAACAATGTAAACATACTTAACACTCCTAACTTTAAAAAGGTGGAAGTTTCTTTTTTTTTAAACCACAATAACAGAGAAATAGCAAGAAGAAAACACTTTCCATCTTTCCCTTATGTAATCTTTACACCTATGGAGTCCTTTGTAGTTTAATGATGCAACAGAATTCCCATTTCATGTTGTTGGCTGTTAAGAGGCAAAGTTACAACGTTCTGAGGTTCGTGAGCTCACCCTTGAGCTTTGAAAAGAAGTTATAATTAATAACTTAATCATCACCAGTAAACAGAGGCACAAACTGTTTGGGCTTTGACCCTCATTGCTGACTTCTCTTGAGAAGCAAGAGACTGCAATGGCAAGAGGCACAGAGCGTCCTCAGGACTCAGCTGGCTCTGCAGGGAGGGCCTAATGCCTCTCACCACAAGCCTGGCTCAGTCCAAACCTGGCTGCAGCTGCCTGCTGTCCTTGCACAGGCCTTCCTGAGACTGGGGAGAGGGCAGCACACTGGGGACAAGGAGATTTAGGGATCTCTTTCCAGGTAACAGCAGGACTGCACCCTTCTGGATGAAAACATCAACACTTGAGTACACTGCAGACTGTCTGAAAAAACAAACTTAAAGTTTAAATATATAAACCCACCCAGGATGATTCAAAACTCTATTTTATATACAGTTGGAAGTATGGACACTAGACCGTGACCTTGTAAAGCCTGAGCTATGACAGTCATATCTGTGAGCTGGCAAGGTAGGGTACTCTCTACAGACAAGAGGGTAAAAATCTTAAATGAGCAGAAATGCTTTGAAGAACTGCATTGCCATCATGGTAGCATGCATGAAATAACATAGTCTAACCCTTCACTAACCTAATGTTGCTAATCAAGAATACTAAATGGATGTAGCTGTTTAATTTAGAAATTAAATCTAAGAATAACTTACCCATAAACCCCTTTCCATATCTTTTTCAGACTTAAAAATTACTGCACCAACTACTTTCCCTAATGCTACTTATGATACATATTCACAATTTTCATAATCTCTTATTACTAGCCCCAACTTGTTTATGAATTAAGCCTATGGGGTATATTTCCACAAAATCTGTAGACTTTAGTAACACAATCAACATCCTATATGTAATCTGCCCATTGACATTTTAAAAAGGAAGCTATTTCCAAAAAGCAGTACAGGATGTGTTACTTAGGAGTGTGTAGGAAGGAGTTCATGGTAACATTTCTTTGGACAGATGCTTTTAAGGCGATTAACACATACAAAATACTTATAACATGCTAAGTGTTCTTACATGTTCCATGATATTTCTAGTACAATATTGTCTGAGTGTGAGATTATGTGGAATACAAGTGTAGGCAGCTTAATACATAACCCCATAAACCTTAGCTTGAGCACAAGATGCAATTATCGTCAGCTTCAAGTATCTGCTTTCCTTCTTCCAAGCAGCTTTAGCAAATACTTCACGATTTTTAAGATACAAGAAAAATGAGATAAAAAGTGCAGGTGTTGACTTTACATGCTTAATCCACTAAACCACACTGCATTTTAGGGTGATAGACACCTTTTGGTACTGCAAAGAAAGCAATTTAAAAAATATAGGGAGTTTTTCTGCCCAAAACCTCGAAGGTTTTTTTGGGGGGGGGGCGGAGTTTAGGGGCAAGGTTTACTTCAGCTTAGGTAGTATTTGAGAAGGGGGAAGGATGACATATCTTGTTTTGGGATATGTGTCAGTAATTTAAATTACACTCACAATTAGTTTGTGAGAGTAGCTGGTAAGTGGTACCATATTAGCTCAATACAATGAGCTTGGCTGTGTTAATTTTTGGAATTTGTGGATCAATTATCTAGATTCAGCTAGTGAGCTATTCCAGTTATTCCGGTCATATCTGGCGGGAGCAAGGGTCTTCCGTGCAGGGCACACTGCAGGAGCCTCGGAGCTCTGTCGGGATGAGTAGGTTGCCGGCAGCGCTGGCCATGGGACTGATAATCCTTTCCGTTACTATCACATTAGGTGTGAGAAGAGGATCAAAGACGGCAGAAGGCTGCACGAGGGAACTGGACGCCGAAGCTGAGTAAGTTTCCCTTACCAGATAGCTAGCCTGTTGCAAAGGGTCAGGGATGGGAATGGCTGGTTGGAAAGACCCCGAAGCAGACAAAACCACGCCCCCTGGACCGCCAGACAAAGTCTGGGCTCCCGCACCGCCTGACAAAGTCTGACCCCCTGGACTGCCAGACAGAGTCTGGCCTCCCGTACCACCCGACAAAGTCTGGCCCCCTGGACCACCCAACAAAGTCTGGCCCCCTGGACCACCCAACAAAGTCTGGCCCCCTGGACCACCCGGCATAGTCTGGCCCCCCGTTGTGACTGATGACTGTGTATTTTGGGTCGGCCCCCAGGATCCAATACCAGCGCTGCTGTCAGTGGAGGGCCGTTGAGCTTGTTGCACTTCCTCATCCATGCCGAGGCTTATCTCTGCGAGTTTTTTAAATTTGGGACCCAGGGAGTCCAAGAAGCTGTCATCCAGGTCATCAACAATGAAGCTGCAACAGCCCAGGGAGCCCACGGGAGAACTGGGGACATCCATGGCCTCATTATCGTAGATCAACAAACAGTCCTTCCCCTCCTGGATACCTTCTTCCTCTGCATAGGCAAACGCTTTCTAAAGATGAAGGAAAAAGGGGGGGGATGTTAAGAAAGAGTCAGTTGGTTGATTAATTAACTGTTCATATAAATCCCCAAGTTTGGTTCTCCCTGGAAATACAGGGATACTCTTCACATGAACAATCTTGTTCTAAATAGGAACCGGTGTTTGAGTGGTAGTAATATGTTTGACAGTCTATCCAGAGTTTGAGTCTAGGTTGACGTTACAGTTCTTGATTTTCAGACACTTATTTGGATTGAGGTCAACGCAGCAAATGGGTGTGGTGCCTAGAGGTTTTCCACTGGGCAGTGTGTGGTAATGTTTGTGTATGCACATATTAATGCTCGTCTTTGTGTCTCAGATGGCAAGGAAAATACCTCTATGCATTGTGTGAGACAGTTCTCAACCCTGGGTGGCGTCATGTGTGGACGCTACAATCCTGTGGGAGCCTGACCTGTAAAAACTAAGGCCTACAACATGCCACGAAATATTCCGAGCCTTCATCCCAAATACATCCCTGTTGCCATTCTGTAGTCCAACACAATGTCCCCCTTCAATCCTCCTCACCCTTTGATTTTTGTGTCAATTATTTTGGAGTTTGCTTCAGCGTTTCTTGACATGGAGTCCTTTGAAAATATATGGCATGTATTCTGACCTCGTTTATGATGTGGAAAATACAAAAAAAAAAACAAACCCACCAAAAATCCCAAAACCTGCTTCATGTTCTTGAAGGGATGCTGTTCATCCTCAAGCACAGATGATTTTTCTCAGTTGCTTTCACAGTGAGAGTTGGGGTTGGGGACGGGGTGGTGTGTCTCTGCTTTAGACTCTCCCTTTGTGGCTACGTGTTCTTTTTGGCCAGTGACCTGATTGTGACAGTTACCTTAGGAAATCTTTTCATACATTTGAAGAAGCTATCACGATGTGAACTGCAAAACTGAAATACATAATGTAAAATATGATATGGTAGAAAAACCACAGCACCAATTACCTGAGAAAAGTAGGAATCTAGGAAATTCATGCTGATTGCCCCATCAGCATAGTCCCTACTGGTTCCTCCAGTGGAATGTCTTGTTCTCATGGTTCCAGACTGTCCTGCAGACCCAAGTCCCACAGCAGCTCCAAATCCTGCAGCAGCCCCAGATGAGGCAGCTGTTCCAAACTTGGTGGCCAGTTCCATTCCTGAGGCTCCTTCCACCACCGTCCCTCCAGCATATGTATTTGTACAGACTTCTGAAAAGAGGAGAGGAAATTCTGTCACATGTTGTGATGTAATTTATTATTGTTAGTGTTGTTGTTTTTACTGGACTAGCACTTGTGCTTTTGCCATGTAAGGCAAGTTAAGTGGGAGAAAATACAATTGGGTGACAAGAATACGCATACAAAGAAATTTGATTTTCTGTAACAGCACTAGAAATATGAAGGAAAACAGAATATTCTCACATAGCTACGGACGGATTCTAATGCAATGCTTGCTTGCTTTCAGGAATGAAAGAAATTGCAATGAAACATTCATATTGGTTCAGTATGAAAACCAATGAGGGAACATACGAAATGTAATCACGTGAATTAGCAGGTGCTCATTTGATATCTTGGAACATAAGGAAAGTGTAAAGGATTTTTTAGCTATTCTCCCTGAGAACTTTATATTATGCTTTCTAGAAAGTTACCTGTCCTGGAGGTTTCTGACTTTAGTGTTTGCTATGTATATGAATAATCATTTAGTAAAATGAAAAAAAGTTTCTATAAATGATAGCATAAGCAATCATGTTCCATTATGATTGGGTGCAAGAATTAGTAATTGGTCATTGTCTGGGCAAGAAAGAGTGAGCAGGACTGAGGAACATAGATGACACTTAAACCACAATGAGCTCACAGAGAAGGACAAACCTGGACTACAGAGATACAGGGGTGGTTTGTTTTCCTTCATGTGTGTGGTTTTCTCCATGTGAGACCTTTCCTAATTAAAGATGAATAACTAATTGCCTGAGAGTTATACCACACTTTGTTAAAACTTAAAAAAAGTTCAAATCTTCAGAGATTAAAAATGGTGTTCGTTCATTTACTTACTTACTAAATAAGTTCATTTACTAAAACAGTAAATAACTTATTACTAAATAAGTAATTTGGCAAATTTACTAAATATAGTAAGCTACTTATAACATTTATTATAACTTATAACTTACATAAGCTACTTATAACTTATTACTTACAACTTACATAAAATAATAATTTTGAACATGTTTAATTTAATCCACTATTGCTTTTTAAGAAACCAAAAGTTTCTATTTACTTACCAGAACTTTCCATGAATTCTGCTCCATTGGCTGTTATAGGTGGCACACAAATATTTGTGATTTCCTAGAATCCAAATTTGAAAAGAAGTACATTTTAAAGTGAATCAGATTTAAGAGCAATATGGGTGAACTGTGACCCTTCACAAGCGTTATTATTATAAGCATTCCAGATTGTTTCAGGAGTAATCATGTTTATATTTTGATATCTGAGGAACTAACAGCTTAACAGGCTCCACCCATCTTAGCACTCACCGACTGTCACACTGAGGGCTAAGAGTTCTGTTTGTGTGCCCCTGTCCCCTTTTGCTATCTCACTGCAAATCAAAGATCTTCTCTACATGAGTGGGTAAGCTTTTCCTAAGACAGATCCTCACCTTGTCTTCAGGATGGGCTCCTTCAATCCCCCACTGATGAATGGTTCCTTCTGAACCATCAGGGACTGGGATGAAACCTCCTGTGCCTCCCCCAAGTGCACTGGTCCCACAGTCACAGGTCAGCAGCAGAAGTGGGGCCACTAGTGGAAACCGAAACAGAGAATCAGAACATTTGAATTGCTAAGAAACTATTTGAATTGACAATGATCTGAAATGTTGCAAACAAAATCTAACGTGGTTATCACTGTGGTGCAGTGGGTTAAGCTGTTGCTTGTAGCGCCAGCATCCTATATGGGAACATCAGTTCTAATCCTAATTGCTCTGATTTCATTCTAACTTCTTGCTAATGAGCCTGGGAGACAGCAGAAGATGGCCTAAATACTTGGGGTCCCTGCTACTCAGAGCTTCTGGCTTCAGCCTGGTTTGACACTGTCCACTGTGGCCTTTTTTGGAGAGACCCAAAAAAGGAGTGGCTAGAAGATGACTCTCCCTTTAGCTGTCACTGTGCTGTGCAATTAAATAAGATACATCTTTCAAAAAGGAAAATCCAGTACTGTAAATATGAAAAATTCCTAATGAAAATCAAAATTAGTTTCTAGAAAATAAAATTTAGTAATTTAAGCACACTACAATTTCATGTGATTATGAAAGAAATCAAATGTTTTTATATGCATATTATTGTCTTGTAATAACGTTGTTTGATCTATGCTAAAGGTGACTTGTTTCTTAATCTTTTTCCTCAATTCAGTTTTATGATTACAGCCTTTATCTGTGCCTGTGAGGCTATAGTATTGTGTCAGATGACTATGCAGATGCTGTGGGAGGGGACCTCAAAAAGCTTTTGGAAAAAAAAATGGATGTTTATTTTGGCACAAAATTTTGAAATCCAAACACAAATTTTTATAATGTGCATTTTCTTAGAGCTTTTTGGAAAATCCTTTGTATACCTGGGCTTCAAAAATATTTGTAACTTATGCAAAATAATAATTATTTGCTATTTGGGAAGCATATATAGACTGTGTAGAAAGCAGTCAGACGTGGAGAACTCCTGGCTGCTTGCTTGCTCATCAAATTCCAATTGGTCCTGCATGGGTCAGCCTGAAGTAGGGAGTTGAAAACTTGGTCCAGATCTGCCACACTGATGGCAGGAACCCAACCACTTGATCTGTCACCTGCTACATTCCAGTGTTCCCATTAGCAGAAAGGTTAACATTGGGAATGTAGCCAGAACCAGGTCTCAGGTGTTCTGATAAGGGAAGCTATCCCCTCACAGCCAGTGTCTGAATCCCCAAACCAAATGCAAGCCCACATTTCAAAAATTTGGCATGCCTAAATAAACTTATGTTTTCACTCTATTTTCAGTGAAGTTTTTGAAGTACCCTAATACAACTGTATGGTCAAGATTTTAGACAGGTGTGGTAATGTTTTAGATAAATGGTGTTAATAATTTGTTAGTAAATAATCATTAACCAGAAACTCCTTTAGCAGTTAGGGAGGTGCTCTAAGCTGGGTGTTGATACGCCCTTAATTGTGATTGAAGGACTATTTGTGACTTGAGTTTTCGGATGACTTCCTGTCAATGTATATACAGGTCTCTGCACATGGTTGGTTATAAAGGTTAATGTCATTCTCGTGGAAATAAGGACAATGATTCTTCAGGCAAGTGGGAGCTTCCTACACTCGGTTGTCAATGACCCCAACTCTGATGTCTGAACTCTTCTTAGACAGCTTGGGGAGGTTAAGAGCACAGACTTCCAAGGTATGAACTTTGGCTCTACCATTCAAGAGCTATGTCATATTGGGCTTATACAATCTTTCTTTGTTTAGTGAGCTCATACATTGAAGAGGAGGTGTAAATATGATCTTCATTATAGGTTGTGAGAACTAATCAGTTAACATAGTTAACAGTCTTGGGGCAGGTGTTGTGGTGTTAATCTAGTTAAAGGCTGTGTCCCACTGCTTCTCCTCCTATTCATATCTTGATGTTATGGCTGGCTCTGAATTGGGCCTTCCTCATCTTTATACAACATCACAAACCTCGAAATTCTTCTTTCCTTGCTCATTTAGGGGAACCAGGACTGCCAGAATTATCTTTCTGAAATACTGATTTGATGATGGCAGTCATTTATTCAAAGGCACTGTGGTGACTCCCTGTCTCATAGCTTATAGTGCAAATGGTGCAGCAAGTGCACATGGTCCTTTCAAATTTATGCCAAGGCACTCCCCAGTGTATCTTCCATTCTTGCCAGTACTTCCTGGCTTTCACTCATGCTGATATCCTTTGGAAACACTTTTCCTGTGTTTTGCAATTATTTATAGCTTATTCATGTTTTAAGGCTTAATTAGATGATTTCTCCGTCCCATGAAACTTCTGCAACACACATTTGTAGTGAATTCTAGGATGATTTTTTAATTTTGGCAGTTTCTTCCCATGCACTTAGACATGAGTGAGTCAGCACACTGTACAAAATTAAGGGAAATCCCTTTGTTATTTGGAAGCAGGCATAGTGACTCACATGAGGTCCTTGAAGGATCTTTGTTGTTGAACTTGACTTATACGATAGTAACAGTTGAAACTCTGCATGCAAATTGCTGCTATTAAGCTAAATGATGCATCATAATTTCAGAATTGTAAAAGGTTTTGGAGACAAAGGAGGGAAAGAAATGGGTATGTGAAGGGCATAAACCGAATAGAAATTTATTTTTCTTCAAAAAAGATCCTACTGAATATCAAAGATGTTCATGTACAGTAAGTCTGAGTGATAGCTATATACTATTCTGTATTATTTTGTGGTTTAAATATTTCATACATTAAAAGAAATTTAAGTGAAGTAGTAGAAGTAGAATATATTCACATGAACATTTATTTTAATGCTAAATGCTATAATTCTATAATAAATTGGGCAAGTAATTTTGTTTACTGTAGGTTTTCTTGTTTATGCAAAAATTTAACATAACGTTCTCTAAAATATCAGTTTTTTTACATTTAAATACTATTTGAGTCATGGGATGTTTTGAAAATTCAAATGCTACTAAAATTTTTTTAATTGACAATACAAAATTTCATTGACAAAAACAAATTTTATTTTTAATATATTAAAAAATATATTATTAATTAATATATTACATTATTATATATTATTATATGTTATGTAATTAAATATATTATTATACTTAGTATAATAATATATGTATAATTTCCCTAGATGTGTTCAGTGAATGATGTTAAGTGGTGAGTTATTTTGCAGAAATGCTGGGTTAAACAAAAGCTTTTCTGTACCTTTGCCATATTACTATGCACAGTAAAACTCAAAACATATGGCTATCCTAGGAGCATGTCCTAAATTTCTTTGGTCAAGATTCTTTGTTATTTTAGAATCATATGAGTCCTGAACATGGAAAAGATACCTTAATAGGGAAAGCTGAGTGTAAAACATATAGGACTATTTGTATAGCTCCGCATATTTTTGGTTTATAAATTTAGAGTTGTTCCAAAATTATATGTCTGAAAGAGGGTGAATGGGAAGTGTTTTAAGGGAACCACTTTGATTTTGCAAGATGGAAAGAGTTCTTTGGATGGCCTGTGATGATGGAACTATGACCATGTGAATGCACTAAATAGCACTGAACCAAACACTTAAAATGTGTAGGATGGGAAAACATATTTATGTTTTTAATGTATTTTACTAGGATTTGTGCATTAATGAAGAAAAAAGAAAATAAAAAAGAGAAAATGCATACTCACAGATAAAGCCATTATTTTGACTACAACCATAACTAGAAGTATTTGGATAGTCCTCATGATTTATTTTTGCCCCTCTTTACTCTTGTAAAGGACTTGCTTTGCTGTATTATGAATATAGATTGCTAACAAAAAACAAATATCTAAAAATCTCCCAGAAAATGCCATTTTCCTTGATTTGCCTGTGGACTATTGTGTAGTGAATGCAGGCAGCAGGCAGTCCCTTGCACATAATGATGTCCAACACAGAACAAAGCTTGGCATACTCACACAGCAAGAGCAGCAGGCCCAGGAGGAGCAGGCCGATTGCAGCAGGCCCCAGGCTCCAAGAGGGCAGCCTGCGGGTGGGTTCTTTGATTGGGCCAGTTCTCCCACAGAAGCCTCTGTCATCACACTGACACACTTCTAGAGTCAGGCTCTCTGGCATCTCGCATTGTCTGCCCTCGCGGTCAGTAAGCACAAGAGGGACCTTGTACTTTCCAGGAGTCACTGGCTGTCGGGCTCTGAGCTGTGCTGAAGTAGCTGTGGAGAAACAAGCATATCAGTCAACAGCAGAATGAGGTGTCTCTTGCTCTTAAAATGACTTACTTTTGTCATCAGAGCTTGTGTGGCCATAGAGAGCCCTATTGTATAGAATGGTGATGATGATGTTTATTAGCAGTGATGAGCTGGGTAAATCTGTCTACACCTGCTTTCTTGTCCTTTATAATCCACATGGGCACATGAAGTCCTCAATGAACTCAGTTCTACTTTTCTACTTTTTCTACTAAAGAGGGTGGGAGGTGGGCGTCTTTTAAGGATCAGGGTTCCCACTCCTGGAGCCTACCTGGTTTCCTGTGTGTCCATACCAATTCTCTGACTCATACTCCCCTCTGAGGGTTTGCAGTGCCCCACTCCCTTGTTCCTGTGTCTAACTTATCAAGATTGGCTTTCTACTTTCACTGGTGCCCTCTCCACTGCTTCTCTCTGTTCTTATCCCATTAACTTCAGGCTTGAACACTAGTAGCCTTGTGTGGTTTGACTCATTCTGTTTTTTAAAGACATTATTATTATTGTTATTACTTGAAAGAGTAACAGAGAGAGAGAGAGCTTCCATCTGCTAGTTCATTTCCCCAATGGCCACAACAGACTGAACGTGGCTCCAGGAGCTTCTTATGGGTTTTCCATGTGGGTGCACAGACCCAAGACCTTGGGCCATCCTATGGTGCTTTCCCAGGCCATAAACAGGGAGTCAGATCAGAAGTGGAGGAGCCAGGACTCAAACTGGCACCCAAAGTGAATGCTGGCATTGCAGGCAGAGAAATAGCTTGCAAGCCATTGTGCTGGCCCCTTTTGAATCATTCTTGATCATGCTGTGCCTTTGACATTATCCCTTGTCTACCCAGTCCAGCCTCTGTTTCTTTTCCTAACCTTGTCTGAGCAGGTGAGCCTAGTACCACATCCTTACTCTCTCTGATCTATCCTTAGCAGCCTCTTCAATGGCCATGCAGCAACTCCCTTAAAGCATATGCTATGTGTAGAATTTGGAGCTGACTCCTTACATCAGGACCAGAAAGGCCCTAAAGCTGGATGCCATGGAGAAGGAAATTCCTTCAGTGACTCTGGCAGTGGTTGGTACTTGTGACTGGAAGGCACATTCAAAAAAGAAACAAGATTGTTTCAGAAAAGAGCTTGAAAAAGTGAGGGAGTTTACTAAGGATTAACTGGCTGGATGGTCATCACAAAATTCAGAAAGGGGAATTTTTATGAACTCCAATATTTTCATGAGACTTCTGGAAAATCCAGAATGTGTAGGATGAGCAGGAAAAGTGTCAGGAGGAATGGGGATAGATAATTCCTCTCTGCAGGGAAACAGAGCTGTGAGTTCCAGCCCACTATGTTTTAAGGATTACGAGGCAACCGCTTCCAATAGGCAGAGGGCTGACCTAGTGCTCCATTGCTCCATGTCTGCTTCCAGACTGCCCCTGTAGGGGAAAGTTTACTTAGATACCTGGAGAGTTCTTGTGACAAAACAGATGCCTTACTTGAATGTCAGTTTTTTGAGGGATGCACAGGGGAAGCAGAAATAATCATATTAAAAAGATCTAAAAAATGGTGTGGAAAACAGAAAACATATTACATCTTATTTCTTTCCTCTTCTTAAGAGAGAAGGAATTCACAAGGCTAAGATCCTATCTCCTGTGCAAAGAATGTTTTCAATGATTCTTGGGTCTTGCTACCAAATGACCTCTTTTCATATAAAGTAATGTGCTTGAAATGTGGAGAGTGTGAGTGTGAGAGGGTGCTCTGATGCTGCCCAGCTGCTGGTACACTGTCCGTAAGCAACAGCCGAGACTGGCATTCCATCCAGGTCTCTCTTATGGATGCGCGGGATCCAAGCACTGGAACCTTTTTCTGTTGCCTCCCAGGGCATATATCAGTATGAAACTAGAATCAGGAATAGAGGCAGGACTTAAACCCAGGCACTTCTGCATGGAATGCAGGCATACTATGCCAAATGCCCAGTCCTGGGAAAATAAAGGGACAGCAAGTTTGAAGACAGCAGTTGTGCTAAGCACTCACCATTGAGTGTTGTGATGCTCCACGTGCCTGGTGGTAGCTTCAGAGACTGGTCCTCTAGTGAGAACCTGTAGGGGCCAGCATATTTATCCCTTTCCAGGGTTCTGGCAGAGACCACCACAAGAGGGGAAGAACTGCAAATTGTTGTGTTTTCCAGGACAATTGTTGGACAATTCTCATTAAAACTCGGTACTTCAACAAATACGGTGCCTGTAGAAGTTCTACCTGTGTTTTCTGTGAGAATAACATTTTAGGGTTAAAGAAATTAGTGGAACAAAGTTCAACAGAAAAACAGAACCTTTCACATGGCTTTGTTAAGCCACCAAGTCAGCGTATGTTCTCATGAGAGATTACACTGGTTGCTCTCAGAAAGTGTAAGGCTTCATCCTGTTGCTACATATTGCAAAAGGAAAATTTCTTATCAAATGGGCTAGTAATTCTAGTAGCCTGGCTATTATTTCATAAATTCACTATTTGAAAATAAACCAACACATTTACAAAAGCTATTATTTTACAGTTAGATTGACTTGTAACCAACGAATGGATAATTTTTGCTTCTAAAGTTCAGGTAAATCTATTCACAGTAAGTAAGTACTTAAAGATAAAAAGGTTTTTGGAGAAAAGATTTTTAAAATCCTGACAAGACAATAAAAAATATGAAAATAAAAAAAAACCTGTGTAAAGTTGAATTATTTCAGAGTTTTTTTGGTGTTTTCCCAAATTGTAATATTTTGATATTAATTGTATTAGTTTTGGTATTTGTTTATGTTGAGCATAAATTAATTTTATACCTGAGGATATATACCCAATTACTATTATTCTAAGACATGCTGGATGTGGAGAATGTTTGTTTAATGATAGAATGAAATGATCTCTATAGGTCTTCGCAAGTTCACCTGACATTGGAATTGAACTTCCCTCATGCGTGTCCTCCATCAGTCTATAGCTACTTCTTAAAGCCATGAATTCTTGTGAGCCAAAAAAGTTCCTACCTCAATGAAAACAAAATCCTAGGGAAGGCACTGCTCTTGCAGACCCCTCTGCAAGCCTGGAATTCTCAGGCTTTGTTTCTGAATTCATCTGCCTTTCACTCGAGACCCAAAGTCTCAAAGTGATTATATTCATCTTATGATAAAGGTAATGTATTAAGCAATTATAATTATCTATTCAGAATGAATATTGGAATATTTTTCTTACCATCAATGGCCAGAACCTCAGCTGTGATTGTCTTGTTAACTATGAAAGTTGAATCTCGATTGATATTTTTGACAAATTTGATTTGAGCAGTTTTTAAATCAATAGCCAGCAAGCCACCATCATTACGACCCATGATATATCTGTTGCAGAAAAGAAAAAAAATATATTCTTCAAATATAGAATCTTATTGATTGAAAATTATTTACTTTAAATTCTATGCTTTTATACCTAATATGAAACCTACAAATATGGATTGATAAAAAGTAACTGAAAATTAACATAATATGAGTGAGTAGCATTTCATAGTGCTTAAGTATATATTAACTTGACTATTGAATCTCTGTGCAATAAAGTACCTGTGTCCTTTCTTTTCATGACCTAGCAATCACTTTGCAGGACGCTATTGTGCTTTTGGCTTATTTGTGTACATGGTGTTTTGTCTGATCAAAAAACTTGGTCTTCTGGTGAACTTCCCCTGTGTTGTTAGACTCAGCTGGAAGTTTCCATGGATGTTTTTCCTGTTCTCCTTTTCAGGGGTGGGGAAACATTCAAAAGCCCTGCAAAATCATTTGGTTGGGCTCTGGCCAAGGCAAACAAGTGAGGCTTGAAATTCAGTGAACCTATATCGGGCTAACTGTTGAGAATTTTGTATGGCCTGCAAATGATGTTGTAAATTCTTGAATGGCCCTTGACAGAAGAAATTTCTCAGTCCCATGAAGTTAAGGTAAAAATTTGTCTCTTGTGTAGCTACCTGGGCCCTTTTTTGATCATCTTTGTATTTCTCTTCTTGCCACATGTCTGTGCATCATTTTATAGTCTTTTGAAGATTAACACTACATCAACAAATAAGATGTTATCAGAAGAGTCTTACCTGACAGATGAGGCAGCTTTACCAGTATCTTCATCAATGGCTTCGTACTTTCCCAGGACATAATTAATCAGTTTTGTACTACTGATGCCTTTTTGTACAGTAAATGTCTTGGAAGCAGGACGGAATGCAATGCCTTCTTTGACATCTATTATACGAATTGTGACTGGGATTGGCTGAACTCGATATTGAGAGATTACTGATTGATGGAATTCAGCTTTGTTTCTGACACCGATACTAAATTGCATGTTTTGCATTTGTTCATAATCTAGAGCCTAGAGTTAAAAATAAAATTAAAAACTTAGAAATCTTTCAAAAAGATAGTCTGGAAAATCCAGTAGTGGAGGAGAAAACTATAAACCAAGTACTATGAGTGGATTCTTTGATTTTTTTTTTTCATAGAAAAATAGTTTCAGAAACCAGTGAGATAGAGAAAGCTTTAGGGTTTGGGTAGAAAGGATTTTTAATTAATATAAAGAACAAATTTCATACATCCCATAGCAAAAAGTTCCAAGACTGCAACCCATTTCATATTTAGGATTCTTAACTTGTAACACCTTACTCATAGTTAAGAGCCACTGTCACAGTGGATGAGTAAGAGAGCAAAGTGTGAGGAATCCAAATGATTTTAAAAGAAAAATATGGTGGTGAACAGGTGGAATTGAGAACAAAGTTGAATAGGGGTAAGAGCTAGACATCTATTAGCTAAGAAGAGGATAAGAGGTAACTTCATGGAAAGTAGAATTCATAAAAAAAAAAGTGTAGATTTAAAAAATTTTTTGAACAAAAATAAATTTTTTTCTAATTGCACTTATCTATGAACTTTGGAATATCCTCAGAAGACAACATATATATATATATGTATATATATATATATATATATATGAGGTTGTGAGATATGTATTAGTAGTGAGGTTATGTCATGATTAAAATTGCATCTGTTTTTATGTTTTTAAATTGTTGAATTATTATTAAATGAATCAAATCAAGTGTAGAATCAAATTAAGTGATAGTTTTACCAATATAGTATATTTTGGCCAATAAAGGGAAATAATTTTTACCTTAACCACCTTCAGGATGCCTTCATTAGTTCTGGGATCAGTTTCTATTTCAAACCAATTCCCTTCATTTCCAGAGGTAAAAAAATACACCGCAAGCCAATTATCTGTGAACTTTTCATCCAAATCTGTGACTTCAAATCGAAGTAACTCAGAGCTTAAAGTATTTTCCTTAATACTTGCTGAATACTGAAAAGGGGGAGAAGCAGAATTTAAAACTCATTTTCAGATTACCTAGAGAGACTATCAATGATATTGATCATTACTTTCTAGATCATCTATTATCATTTTACTAGTCACTGAATTGTTATATTTTAAAACTATTTTCATTTTATTTGAAGGGCTTGGAGATGGGGAGAGGAAATAGAAATCTTCCATCTTGGAACATCCAGGGCTGGAGCAGGCTGAACCTGGAGTCGGGAACTCATTGGGCGTAGCTCATGTGGATGGCAGAAACCCAAGTACTTGAGCCGTTATCTGTTGCCTCCCAGAGTGTACAATAGCAGGAAAGCTGATAGAAAATAGAGGAACTGGGACTCGAACCAAGCATCCTGATAAAAGATATGAGCACTCTGGTTTGGGATATGGGTGTCTCATGTGATACCTTTAGCTACTACATTAAATTCCCAGGCCAGAATTCTTACGCTTTATACAAGGTTATTTGAAAAAAAAATGTACAGGACATTTTAATAGGAACAGGCTGACAAATATTGAATAAGGATGGCAAAGCGTTCAAACATTTTAAATGATTCTTCAAGGAACAGTGGGTGTACCTGAGAGGCTCCAAGTGTTGGGAAGTTATCATTGACATCCTTTACTTTAATACTGCATTCACATTCAGTAGACAGTCCTTCTCCATCTTTGTCTGCACCACTCACAACAAGACGATAGCTGGAAACTTGCTAAATTTGGAGGGAAAGAAAGAATTAAACTTCCAAGAAAACAAGTGATGATGATTTGCTTCCTGTGAATAAGAAAATGAAAACATTCAAGGTCATTGTTGGGACAGATCCCATGCATTGGTGGCTGTCCATGACAGTGGAGTTTTGTGGGATCTGAGTGATTAGATGGATGGAAGCCCTGGAAGGGAGATCATGGATTTTTCTCTTTGGTGAGCTTCTTGTGGCAAGACAGGACATTTAGAGCCAAAAGAACAATAAATATGGTGAGACAGTTATCTGGGGAGAGTTCGCTGATGGGCTTCCTTCTTCCTCTATTTGGGAAATAATTTCTGCAAAAACCATATGGAGTTGGACAAGGTAGCTTTTGGTGATGTAGATGGATGATAGCAGTGAAAGATGATGGGGAAAAGAGAGGAAGGAGTTTCTTTAGTTTTCAGAAGCAGGGATAAAATTTAAAGGTATACAATTTAAAGGCTTTGTTCAGAGAGAAATGTCTCCCTTCCAAGAAGTTTAGATTTCATCTATTGTATGATAAAAAGTCACAGTTTTATATTGGTCCACACAAGCCAATGCCTTAAAAAAAACTCACTGTGAATAAAGGCTTGGCATATGACAGATTACGTAGGACTCAAGTACATGTTCCATCTCCCCTGAATCACAATGCAGAATTTACTTAAATTGGCGCAAATATGGAGAGCTTCTTTTCCTCACTCCCTTGAATATTAGATCAAATGAAGTTACCTTTCTTGGATTTGTTTCTGTCAAACCATTTTGATTATGCCATGCCCTGTGCTTTACCTCTCGATCAAGAGAATTGGTCAAAGTTCGGACTTCTCCAGTGTTTCTGCTTATGAGGAACATGGGTATGCCTGCAGGTTCCTGAGAGACAATCTTGTAGGCAATTTTAGAGTTCAAATGACCTGGCTCATCTGCATCTGTGGCATTGAGTTTCATCACCAGTGAGTCTAGGAACACAGGAAAGTGCTCATTGAAGACTATGTAAAAATTCCTATTTATGCACATGAAATATTCAACACCATTCCACATTAATCTTTGCTTTTTAAAAAAAAACATCTTAGAAGTATATATATGCTCACAACAAATCATCTGACATTTAAGTTATGTATCTCTCAACAGGCATTTAGCCTAGTGGTTTATATCCACATGAGCCACATCAGAATAGCCGAGTTTGACTCTTAATTCTGGCTCTTGATTCCATTTTTTTTTTTTTTACTATAATGTAGACCCTGGAAGGGCCCCCATGTAGGAGGTCCAGAGTGAATTTCTGACTCTCAGCTTTGGCCTTGACATTGGGAGCATTTGGAGTGTAAACCAGGGGAGGGTAACTCTGTCTTTATTTCTCTGTGTCTTTCTGTCTCTCAACAAATAAAAATATATTTTTAAAAAGATCGTTAGTTCTTCCCAAGACTTGGCTTTTTTGAAGGTAAGGCTATTTTGTGTCTTTATCTCTTCATTTAATAGATGGTCTTCTAATTCTCTCCCTTTCCCAATTAACCAGTAAGAGCGTGCTCCTGCCCTTATAATGTAAAAAAGCCCAGCTCAGGCACCTGGGCTACCAAGGGCTGTCTCTTATAGCCTTATGACTGCCTGAGACTTGTAGAAATAGCTTATGCAATGAGCTATTGTTGATCAGATAAGAGGGCTATCATGTAGAAATATAGTTCTAGTGGTTCTTTAGCTCAACTGACATTGTTAGCTAAGTAGAACAAGATTATATTTTACAGTTTCTCTTTCAAAACTATTGAAGAAACTGTAAGATAATAAATTAGCTTTATAAAAATGATGTATTAACAGTGATACTCATATTTGAAAACCAGATACATTGGAAGGGATGAATGTGGCAGACACTTACTTGAGGCACTGTTTTCTTCAATTTCACCCGTGAATATGTTTTGTGAAAATACTGGGTAATTATCATTCACATCTAGAATTTTGACTGTTAATATAAGTGGTTTCTCTACATCTTGTCCGCGGGCATTTAGAGCACGACACGTGATCTAGGAATAAAGCAAAAGTATGGATTATTACTGTCAGTTTAGTTTGTGTATCGTTAGCATGATATTAACTAGAATGATGTTATGTGGGCCTGTATAGAAGTTTGAGGCACAGAAGAAAAATCTCTCTACATGGTAGGCAAAGTTGAAACAGGTGCCCATTATGAGCCGATCTAATAGGTGTTGTGGCGGGCAGAGCTCTGAGCAGGTTGGGTGCTTGTATTCAGTCTTCATTCTTGCTTACCCCCGGGTAGGTTCCTGCAGGTGTAATAATCATACTGGGTAGGTTCTTTGTGGTGTGACTGATGCTAGTTTTTGGCAGATTGATATAGTCTCTGATCTCTCTTTTAAATTACCAATAGAAAAGTGTTACCATTTAAAGACGTGTGTAAAAAGATTAGGCAGACTTAGAAGACACAAACTTACCAGGAAGCTTGGGGTTTCTTCTCTGTCCACTATGGCTGTTATGTTAATATCACCAGTGTTCGGATCAACAGCAAAGATCCCAAAAGGAGGCTGATCAATTCCTACCCCAGATATTCGGTAGGTAATTTTCTGAGTTGCTTGAAAATCTGAAGTAATCTGTAGCCCAAAATACCCAAAATGTTAAGGTGATCCCACTCATGTTTTTTTTCTTTCCTCCCTGCCTTCTTCTACTGCCCAAACCTAAACTCATGTGTTCATTTGTCCCTTCGTACCATTTACTTTTTGCCTTGAGAGACATAAAGAATATGAAATTGATCCAAATTGTGGCTTTTGTTGACTCACATAGCTGATTGACACATTAATCATTTTGGCTTTAGCATATTTGCTCAGAATGTGGCTACTGTGGTTAAGATGTGAAGAAGTCAAAGGCATTTAAGATTGAAAACATTACTTCTGAGTGCTTCCTCTTTACCTGATAATATAAAGGGGAAGGAAAAGGTGTGTGTGTTGGGCGAGCTTTTAGCCTAGCAGTTCAGATGCTGCTTAAGATGCTCTCATCCCACAGTAGAGTGCCTGGACTTGAGTTCTAACTCTACTTCCTAACCCACCTCCCTATTAAGGCGTGACCTGGGAGGCAGAAGGGGATGGCTCGAAGAGTTGGTTCCTGCCAGGGGAAGGGAGATCTACACTGAGTTCTTAGCTCCTGGCTTTGGCCTCACCTGTCTTAGCCATTGTCGACATTTGAAGTGTAAGCTACTGGACAAGCATGCATACCCCGTCTCTCTTTCTCTAGATCTCAAATAAATGAATAACTACTAACGGACTAACTAAATAGCTATTCTTGGTCTTTTTTTTTTTCTTAATCTCAAGTTCATAGAGTTTTCCACCACAATCAAATGAAGGTTCAGCTCTATGAAAATAATTCAAAAAGTTCATGGGAAATGTATCTAAAAGTTAAATTTATTTTATAAAAAATGTTCATTTTACCTTAAATAGAGAGAAATGAAGAGAAAAATAGAAAGGGCTTATACAGTAGCTGTCAAAGTGAATTGCTTTTTACTGTAATTTTAAGCTTTCCAATAGAGAAATTATCCAGTAAGTACAAAGTTAGAATAATTTAATAAGCATAGATCTATTATTGTATTTTTAAGATCAGTACTTTGGCTAATTCAATACTTACTTCCACCATTTTTCTAGTTGTCTTATCCATAGACAAAATTTTAATTTGTATTTTACAGCTTGGCTCCAAATAAGGCTATACAATTAAGTTCAAAAAACTAAATAAATAATGTTGGTCAGGATGTCACTCAAACGTTCTTATCTCCTATTTGCCATCATTATTTCTGTTATAGTTTTTTTGAACATATCAATTCATTTACTGTGTACTGCTAAATTTGTGTGTTTCTGTTTGGAAATTCCCATGTTGTTCTGATTTTTATCTTGTACATTTATTGTAAAGATGTTGATTCTGCCCATACACCTTACCTTGGCAATGGGGTTTCTTTTTGAGTTGTCTTCTCTTTCTCTGCAGGGTTTGGCAAATTTCACCCATTCACGTTTGTATCTTCTTCTGGCTGGCTGCAATGCTGTTCCATTTTCCTCATGTCCTTTTGTCTTATGTCAGAAGATATAGCATATGCACATTATTGGTCATTTTTTAGTATGATTATGCACAGCTAGGTTAAGAATCCCCTTACATCTCAAGTTCTGTAACACTGTTAGATACCTAATATGCTCTAACTTTGCCAAGAAAAAAGAAATGTACACATATGATTTTTAAGGTTGACATTTAATCATATTTTTGCTTGCTTTATGGACTTCACACTACATAGAATTTTACCTATTGATTTACTTAGTAAGAAATAATGCATGACATAAGTTACATTTTATAGGTGACTACTTTTGAATATTGCTGGGTTAACTGTTAAAATCTTAATCCTGGATATTTTCACAATTATATTATCAAGTAACTTTAAACAATAGTTATTTATTCCTTCTAAAGATGATTTTAAGCTAAATGATTATTTTAATTGCAAAAGTTTTTCATACTTTACCTCTAGTCGTAGTTCTCCATGAACCAATACAAATGCCTGTAGACATTTAAATGAAGTCAAATTAATGTCAATTCTTTAAATAACTAATGACATAAAGCTAATGATTCTGATGATTACGTATGCTATTCATATTACAATTTGCTTCTATTTTAAAACAAGTGTGTTTAGAGAAGCAACCTTTTGAATGCTTTATTCCCACCAGGAAATAAACTCTCTCAGGTAGTTTATATAAAGTCTTCCAGATCTTGAATCTGTCTATAGAATTTTATTGATGCAAAGAAGGATCTTTGGACTATGTAAGGCTGTGCTTGATAGCTGGCTGAAGTAACCAAAAGTTTCTTCCCTGGCTGCCACCAAGCAGTTGCTAGAAGCTATGGAAGCTGTTATCCGGGTAAACAATAGTGAGGGGCAATGTGACATGCTCCAGAAAGTGGCTGTTGCCAACCTCAGCTGACTGAACAAGGATGTTCATGTATAAGTCAGATGCAGGAACAGGGCATTGTCTTTCCTTCATGAGAGGAGGAAGAATGCAAAGGAACTAGTCTGGTTCAGAAGATGAAGAGACGCTATTGGAATCATCGACATTTGGCCATGGGACATGGATCTCTCTTCTTTATTACTAATTTACAGTTGAACTTGATTTTTGAATGAAAAGTTAAAGTCAATCGAATTCAGAGAGGGGAGGATCTTCAGTTACTCAAGTGTATATGAGTCCTTCATCTGTACCATTTTCTCTAATTTTCTGCCTGCAATGCATTCTTCTCCCCCTGCCTCCCACTGAAATATCACTTTGCATTCACATTCCAATGAGCTCCATGAAACTGCCTTTACTGATCTTTCCTTTCCTGAGTTTGTGCAATACACATTCTACACCATGAAATTTAGTTCAACAGAACTTATGATTTATTATAGCATATGTTCACTAAACATTTTATATGGTAAATCAAGAGAATTTGAAATTTTTAAAACCAGTGCTTTTATGTTACTTTTTAAATAACCCTCTCAATACCTCCCCCAGCAATTGTTTAATTACCATTTGCTGATCTGCCAATTATTAGACCTGAAAATAATCTGGTTAGAAATTGATTTGAAGAATAATTCAGAAGAACAAAATCAAGAGAGGATTAAGAAAGAATAATAGCTAATGCTTGTGATGTGGCATCTGTGTCAATTGTTACAGGGACTTATACTTAACAAACTAATACAATTTATATAATATTTATATTTTTATACAATAGCCATCTGAAGAAGATTCCATTTCAATTTCTTTTTTTAAGGTTTATTTATTTTTGTTGGAAAGGCAGATAGGACATATGGAGAGAAGGAGAGACAGGGACAAAGATGTTTCATTCATGGTTCACTCCCCAAATGGCTGCAATGGCTGGAGCAGAGCCAACCCAAAGCCAGGAGCCAGGAACTTCTTCCGTGTCTCTCATATGGGTGCAGGGTTCCAAGGCTTTTGGCCATCCTCTACTGCTTTCCCAGACAACAAGCAGCAAGTTGGACAGGAAGTGGAGCAGCTGGGAGATGAACCAGCACCCATATTGGATCTTGATGCTTGTAAGGTGATGATTTAGCCATTGAGCCATCGTGTGGGGCCTTATAATCCTATGGATAAAGAACTGCTGACATAAGAGAGTGAAGATTTGGCTAAATTGAGCAGTTCACGTAGAGCCAGAATTTGAGTCTCAGATGCCAACTAGAGAGAATGTGCATTACCGTCACACTGGATTGTTACGAAAGTTGACATAAATATGTAGAAAAAAATAACAAAAGGAGGCTGTCCTAGGAAATCAACGTAGATTCCAGTTGGGACAAAGAACATGGTTGCTCCTGAAATGATGATTTGTTTGCAATTTTCAGAGGTTACAATGAATATTTCAGTCCAATTCCAAGCAATGGGGTAACCGCATCAGACTCAGCATACAAGACCCCTGTGGCTTCCAGACATTTAAGCTGAATTCCTGATTTCAAAGTGTGTATTAGAATAGCGATGCAGAATTAAGTGTGTTGTTACATGTTTCAAAGTGAATTTTACAGAATTACCTCTTTCTGCTAAAGAATGACTTTGAATTACTCAGGAGAAAAGACTAGAACAATGCAATAATCGGACAGCTCCTTTCTCAGTTCAAAAGAGTGAGTCAGTCACACATGACAGGAGAGGTGGATCAGGTTGATCCCCTTTACGGGAAAACTGGAAAGAATCAGCCGCAAGTATGAGTCATGTTTGTACTAGTCCCGCAGAAGATGAGTCTTCGAATAGACAGTTAAAACATGCCTTTTCTCTTCCCAGGAAGCAAAAGATGGACCCACCTCAAAGTAGACAATTAGCATTGTAGACTTTTGTTTCTCATCTGTCCAATCTTTTCATAGAATCAGCATTCTTCGAGAAATTATTCAGTCTTAGTCTTTGCTTTTTCATACCTTTACTTTTAAAGTCAGACCACCAAGACTGTGAATTTTGAAGACATTGTGTAACCATGTGTATATATTTGTTGCTTCTGAGAATATGGAGTTGTTGAGAAGAAACATTTCTGAATAACATAATACTCATAGATTTTTAAAATTGTAATCACTGCCTTAGATTACTTAAAAAACAAATTAGCTAATTTTTATTCAGTGACTAGTTGTTTTAAACAACTAAAATAATAATTTAAAAGCTATTTATATTTTTATTTAAATTGGCACATAGATATGATATGTTCATCAAGTATAATGTGTTATTCTGAAATATGCACACATTGTGAAATCATTCATTTGAATTGATAAATATTTAAACTGCGTCCTGACAGTTTAAATCAATTTAATTTAAATAGATTAAATTGTCTCTTATGGTAACCTGAATTGAAATACAGAAAAAATATTTTATATCTTGAAGATTTCTTTTTTCCTTATTAGCCTATGAATTTTCATAAGATTTTTCAAGCATGTATTCTAAGAAATTTGTCATAAATAGAAATTATAAGGATTTTAGTAGAAGAAAATCTGGTTATTAAATTGAAGTAATCAAATATAAAATAATTTGGTATCCATGTGCCTTATTTCCTAGTAAAGTTGGGTATAATTGTACAATTATAATTACAATTACATTTGAATATATCTGATGTGTAACAAGTAGAATTTGAGGTTTTGGGTGGCTAGATTTTTAAAATGCATTTATAGTAACACTTGCTGTGTAAACTAGTTTGGCCAGCATTTTGTTTAGATTTATTTCAAAGTTTAGTGTGGGCAGAACAGACGGTTAGAATTAGAATGTAGGGAGCCAGCCCTTGTGCATGGTTACTCTTTCAGTCTTCAGGATGGATAGTGGGTCATCCCACTCTGCTCTGAGAAATCTGTAGAATAAGTTAGGTGATTTCAAGAAGTCACTGCATGTCTTACATAGTAGTTTGCATTCATTAATATTTTTGGGCTAATATCATGAAATACATAGAAGTTGGTGAGATTATTCCTCTAATTGCTGAGACACAGTGATTGTGAATGTGTCATGTCCTACAGATTACCGAAAAACATGTTTAGTGAATATAGTTACAATTTGGAAGCAAGATTTGTTTCCTGATAGCTCATAGCTTTCTCTACATACAGATTCTCCTTGACTGTGATCATAAATAAACCCTTCATAAATTAAAAATATCATCTCCGAAATGCATGTAACACATATAATTTACTGACCACACTAGCTTAGCCTAGATGAACTTAATGTGCTCAGAACACTTACATTAGCCTATGGTTAGAAAGATCATTTGAAAAAAAAAAAGCCCATTTTATAATGAAGTGTCAAATGTCTCATGTATCTTATTGAACAGTGTTCTGGAAATGAAAAACAGGATGACTGTAAATTCTGAAAATGAAAAACAATGACTGTATTGCACCAGTATAACAGCAAAAAATTTTTTAAAAAATAGATTGGATCAATTCAAGTCAGGCCAGTTTAAATTTTAAATTTAATCATTCCAAAATATTCTAATAAATTGTGCATTCATTAAGGTAAACTCCTTAACTGAGTAAAAATAACATATATTTCATTACTTATGAATTATTCCCTAATTTAGGACAACTCAGCTGTTTTCAGTGACTGATCCTTAGAATAAACTGAATTAGTTTATAAAATGGTAGCAGTGCTAAGAGAAACACTGTTGCATATCCTGAAACTCTTGTTTTAAAAGCTGTGTAGCATACATGAAGTCTAGTAGAGTTACATAAAATTAGACCCTGTCTCCTGAATCCCTGAACTCGAATCCTGGTCCCTATTATATACCAAATATATACTGTGAATGCTACTTAATTCTTTGGGGGTTCTCGTCTGTGAAGTTTAGATGATAATCCTGTTTACTTTATAGGTTGGTTATGGGAATTAACAAGTTAAAAGGTGTAAAGTGCCCTAACGCAAGGTAAATGCTTAGTAAAAGTTAATTACTTGTGCCAAAAAAACAAAAATAGAAAAGCACAACTTGACTGATATGAACTAACTTCTCATTTGATTCGAAGTATCTAAGAAGTGTCTTTTTTCTTGAGCATCAGAAGGAAATTGCTTTTATTGGTTTCTGCTTGCACAACTGTAGGGGGTAGTGTTCACAGGATCATTTATGTGACTGCACCTCCTAGAGTTATGCAGTGCATAGAATAGTCAGGTACATGGTGGCTCCTTAGGAAAAAATGTGTGTATTAGATTCAGATTTTCCTCATGTAATTATAGGATAAACAATTGTCTACATAATTTTCTTGTGAACAGCCTGCCAAAGCAAGCCTTCACCTTAGGCTATCAGACCAAGCCTGCTGGAAGGAAAGGGCCAGGGTAAGAGGTTTGTAAGAATCCTCACTGCCATGCAGTGTTCTGGAACCAGGTGAAAACTGTGTTCATGGATTAAGCAACTAGGTGTGCTAATTGGTGGAGGTAATTACGTCTTTCCTGATTTATGCCCAAGTCAGGCAGGACTGGGCAGACTCATTTGGCAAGGTTATTCTCATATTTGAATCTTAAGTTCTGCAGAGATTCAATAGGAAATTTGTCTTCATGTATTCATTTACGCTGGAAATTGGATTCTTTCATGGTTGAGAAGCGATATCTCAAAGATGTTACCTTTAATTAAACATCCAGGCCATTTAGGCAAAAATTCTTTTGTATACATTCACTTTTTGCATGTCCTGGAGATTTGAAAATAATTTTTCTATATCTGGACCATGTTCTAAACCAGAAATTAACATGGAAATTACCCTCTTGCTCTTATTATCATCAATTTTTTTATGAATAAATTTTTGCATAACACATGAGCCTGAACTTAAATACCTCATTGTTTGAATGCTTACAATAGTGTTCTGTGACAGCCAGTGTTTTGTAATTTGTGAACTGTAAGACACTAAACAGTGGCTTCAAAGGAAAAACTTTTTCATAGAGATTAAATTATGAAAGCAAACATTTTCATCCACAACGCTTTTCTCCACATGCCTGTTTATATTGTGTGAAATGGATCAAAGAATAAACAGATAAACACTGTCCCTTTCTTTAAGAGTGGACAGTAGTCCCCAGGCCTCTTCCTCCTACCTGATTAGCCTAAGAGATTAGGACAGCTGTAAACTTGAAGGAATTTCCAAGTTGGAAAACATATTATTTCTTCATACCCATATTAATTTATGGTACAGCTTTTCTTTTGTGTTACTAATTTTAAAAACCAACTTTAAAAATATCCTCCAGCTCAAGGAAGAAACATTACCTTTCTTTAACTTATTGAAACTTGTGTTGATGATTATTTAAAATAATGACACAACATCAGAAAGTTATCAAGAATCATGACTATTGCTACATTTTGGAATTGATACTAGTTAGAATGCTAGATGGCATTCTATGTTTCTCCAGCCTTTTTGTACACAATGCTGCTGTCTTCACACAGTGACATTTTCACTGGAAGCTGTGTGGGAAATGATTGTTCTTTCTTGACAGAGTCTGGGGTGAGTCAACAGTATAGCCACAGACCTAAGTCTATGACTTTGCCAGGCAACATTTGCATGGTCACTGGATAGTGGAATGCTTTCAAAACCTCCAAACGTGTCTTACAAGTTTCGGGCTTCACCTCTCAACAACAAAAGATGTATGTTCTTGTCTGACAGTGCTTTTTAAAACCATCACATTTTCCTGCATAACCACACTATTTCAAAATTCTGGGTGGCTCCTCCTTTCTAAAAGGATGCTATGTGCTTTTTAGTCTCACCCTTGTCTGCCTTTCCAATTCACCCCTGGATTGTCCAATGCAAACTTTCATTCTAGTCAAACCGGTGTGTCCATTGCCCCTAGGCAAATGCCCTGATTGCACAGGCTTTTTTCTAACACCGGAAATAGCTGTCTTTGGCCTCTTTGTCCTTAATGAATCTCAAATCTCACTGAATCCATGATCTGCTGACCTCATTCCTGACTCCCACTACCTTCTACTAATATCATAAATAGCAGACTAGCATTGTCTAATATAAATAGAACTGTCTAATATAAATAGAATCCCAAAGATGAGCCAGATATATAACCTAAAATTTTTTCAGTTACATTAAATATTATAGAAAGGTAAAAATAACTTTAAAATATCCAAATACTCTCATTTCAAATATGCAATCAACATAAACATTATTTGTAATTTATTTTACATTCTTTTGCTTGCATTAAGTTTTCCAAATGTGATGTATTTATTACACTTAACTACTCATCTTAGCACAAACCAACCACATTCCAACTGATGAACACATACCCAGTGGCTACCATATTAGGTAGATAAGTTCCAAGTAATAATTACATATGAAGCAAATGTCTAAGTGGCTTGTAACTGTGTGTGTATCTATGTGTAACTTTCCTAAGGAAATGCCTTTCCTTTCATGATTTCTCCTGATCAGTAGAACTATAAAGTCCCTGTGAAGAGTTTTATAGTCTAAAGAGGTTCATTCGATCCTTCATTTATTCATTCTCCAGATAATTTTGCATCAGTTGTAAGATGGATATGATGATGGTAGGTTCTGGGGTTGCAAAGATGAACACACAGGCTTATTGTAAGAGGTTCGTGGTTACTCTGCAGTCATAGCTTAGCTAAGAGGGATTAGTAAATCAAAGGAGGGGAGTTTGATTGTGTTGGCCTGAATCTATTTCTTGTGGCACTGCTCTTCTGACACTTCTAGCTATCCCTTAGCTTCCCAGTGTTGGTTATTGTCTTGCACACATGCATTATCAGGCTCTTGCTGTTTAATCCAGATAAGCCCCACTGGAAGGGTGCGACAGTCACTCATCTTTCATATTTCTCTTCACTACATTCTTGGGTCATGTAACCAAAGCAGAGTATCATAGTTGAACAGCGTCTTAGGAAGAAATGACGCTCATTTTTCTGATTGACCATTGTGTTGAGAGGGAAGGCTGGGAAATTGTGGATTATGGAGCCCCCTTATACTATCATCAGGTCACTCTAAGTTTTATTAAAGATTTTTCCTGAGATCCATCTCTCTCTAATTTCTTGATGTTCATTTATTTCAATGTTTTTTATATGAGGAACTGAGACCTAGGACAACCAAGCTGATCACTGACATCTAAATATTAGCATTTTGATATTTACTTAGAGCATACAGCTAATCTGATACCATAACATAGCTGATAACATTATACTTTTTCTTTGCCACAACAGCACAGTTAAGGATAATCTTGGCTCTCAGCCTTGACTTCTGTTTCAGTTAACACAATATACAATTTTCTACCAACAAAAGCATTACTCCCTGTGAAAGTGGCTCACACAATGCTTTGTGTGTTTTTTATTGCCTAATATAGGATGTGTTTCACACAAAAAACTAAAAATACTAAACATTCACACTATTTTCTTAATATTGCTTCCAATTCCAATAGAGTCAAACGCTACTTTGATTTTAATTCAATGATCTTTGACCAGTTTCGAAACACGTCAGGTGTCAAGACCAGACTTGTGGAGTTCTTAGCCATAAGCTTAAGAAACATATAATCCTAAAAACCAGAAGTGACTTTCTCTGGTGTGTTTTTGTCTGTATGATAGAAAATGCGTAAGAGCAATACTTTGAAGGAAAAACAGGTGCTGTGAGAAGTACCTGAGATCAGGATGACCAAATTTGTGAGCTGAAGAAATACTTAATAGTTTTTTCTTTTTTTTGAAAACTGATTGCTTAGTAGTTCATCTTTCTGTGTAAAATACATTAAAAGAATCCAGAAGCAGGAAATTGGCATTAAGTCTTATAAAGCTTATTTCTATTTTATACTCTTCAGAACTTACAGAAGGGATCAGTCAAATGTAACATCCTCTCAGAAGGAAGGACACAGAGAAAGTTTGCTCTTAGGAAAATTTGGGACTTACCATTAAAATGGCCAGAGCCCCTGTGGTTCTGGGAAACAGCCAAGGCATCCTCTGGTTTCCCTGGCGAGCAAGAAGCAGTCCCTGGGTCTGTTCTCTCAACTGTCCGCAGAAGGTGTCTCGCCAAGCCTGCCCAGCAGCCACACTCAAGTCTTCCCCTGGAGTCTGGGTGACTGTTAGGCTGTTCCTCCCCACCCTGCAGCAAGGATTGGTCTCAGCAGAAACGCTTGCATCATTTTTGCTCGCAGGTAACAATGTAGACACACCCCAATTCCTAAAGTAATGAACTCCTTTGTGGGAAGCTGGATAAAAAGTTCACAGGCTAATGACAAAGTTTAATAGGATGGTACCCGGTGAGTAACAAGTTAATCATAACATGGAAGTGCAAAAACTTGTCCTAACCACAGTGAAAAAGAATCTGATTGGGTCCTTATGGTTACAATTAAATCTGAAGCAAAAACAAAGCATGCAAAATTTCCCTAAATCTGTCTTAAGGAAGAGTATTTATTTTCATTGCAGCTATGTGTGTGGAGAGCCAAAGTTATGCAAAACATAGGTGTTAAGGAGCAATGTATTTTGGTAAAAGTAACTGTAAATACAAAGGTTAAAAGCAAATCACACCAGGTGGTTATTAGTGCAGATTGTAAACAAAAATAATTAAAAATAAATTGGAGTAAACAATTTGTAGGGTGCCTTGAATATTTGAAGTATTTGAAATGATGCAATACCGAATAAGAACCTCTGACTGTGCTCAAAGTACATCTTCTTTATCGTGTTTCTTTTAACTTGTAACTGGAAACAATTACTTTGATTAGTAAGAAAGGTTGTATTTGTGTTTTATTTTTAATTATTCAAGGAAGTTTTCTCGCAGCACTCCGCCTACTACAAATTATACAAGGGTGCTTCAAAAAGCTTGTAGAGAAAGTAATAAAAGATGTTTATTTTGGTGAAAAAATTTCAAATCATATATGAGAAGTTTTGAAAAAGTTCCTGGAACTGCATCATGACAAAATAAATTATGCATTGCAAGACTTTTTCTCAACAAATGGAACTCATCTTTTAATTCTGTTTCCCACCAGTCGTTCAAATTACCCTCATGATATACCAAACTTGGATTGTAACATCAGTGACTACAGAAGAACCAGTGCCATTTTAGTTGGGTTTATGCTGTTTTATTTAAAAAAAATTTTTTTTTTTTAATTTGAAAGTTAGAGAGAGGTGAAGGAGGAGAGAGGCCTTGCATTCATTGGTTCATTCTCCACTTGGCTGCAACATACACAGGACTGAACCAAGCCTAAGCCAGGAGCAAGGAATTCCATGTAGATCTTCCATATAGAAGGAAGGGTTCCCAGTACTTGTGCCACCTTTGCAAGAAGCTGAACAGAAACCAAGCAGCCTAGAATTGGACAGAAAGTGAATGTGGACGAAAGTAACCGTGGCTTAACCTGTACCTCAGTGCTGACCCATAATTAGATTTACTTTCAACAGTAGAGTCAAACACACTTCAAAAATTCTAGAATGTCAGGAGATGGTGTGGTAATGAGTGTTTCATTTGTGGAAGTATTGTGCACTAGATTTTGAAAGCTTTTTCAAACACTTGATCTTTGGATATTTATCCAGATGGGATTACATACTCTGGGAGCTGCAAGAAACATTTTGGAGCCAAAATGTTGCTTCTTTTTAAATTGTGATGAAATGCACATCACGAAATTTAACTCTATTGAAGTGTACAGCTCAGTGACTTTAACATGTTTACACTGTTGTGCAATCACAACTATTATCACCTTCCATTTCCATCTTCTTATTTTTGAATTAAAATGTATCTAAATAAAGGTATATTGGGATACAGTCACACATGGTTGGATTGTGAATTATTTCTTTTGAGTTACAATGGCAGAATTAAGAAAAGCAGTTGAACAAAACTGTATGGCTTTATAGTAAAAAAATGTTTACAATCTTGTTTTTTATAGAAAAATATTTACCCACCCCTAGGTAGACTGTAAACCCAGGTTACCATATAAACCTTAAATGGTATTTATGCCAATTTGATAGGCAATGACCCTAAGAAAGGACTAGTTAATCTTTAAAATATGCCTTCATCTGGAAAAAAATTCAGATCAGGTTTTCTTTTTAAATTCCATAAATCTTATTTCATGCAGTTTTGGTTAGAATCAGAAAGTGAACTAGTTATGGAATCCTTTCCAATATGGAAAAACTAAGATGTACGCAAGGGGTTTTCTGAGTTTGGAAGCAGGTGTGTGTGTGTTTTTTTTTTTTTTGTGGTAAGGGGGCAAGGTAAATTAGCAAGTGCAAGTGAGAAGAAGCTGGGATTATTGGATTTAAGCCTGATTCGTATGATGTGAAATCCTGTGAATACAACATCAGTTATCATTGTAATAGTCTTAATTTGGTGAAGAGTGGTGAGAGGTTGGGTTTTAGATGGGTGTGTGTTTATACTTTTTCTCATATTATACTGACAGGACATACAAAAGCCTTGTCCAAGACCAGTAGAAGCCACCATAACTCATTGTTTTGAATAAGGACCTCATGGATATATTTTATTTCCTTCATAATATATTTGTAGTTTTTCTGATTTTGTTTTCATGGTAATAGTGGTTTCATGTCAAAATTTTCAAAGAAAGATGTTTTTAGAATAAAGTGAGGTAAAAAAATAATGTGAGAAAAGCAATCATTTGTGAATAGTATAACTATATGTTTAAATAATTATAAACTTTGGGACAGGGAATAGGAGATAAACTTTCCATTATTTCCTTTTCCAGAGTCTCATATCTTGCAGTTCTCCAGGGGATTATTGTGCAGAAGATAAAGGAGCTGTAAGAATGATAGCAATGAATCATGATGGTTATAGCCTGGCTCACTGAGTTGCGGTGTGGAGAAAATTCTAGATAGGATTGTTTTATTTTGATTCACCTTTCCTAAAACTCATTTCTTGACAATTTAAATTAAGACTTGTGAGCAGTAATTATCTTTCTATTATTTTCTTAAATGACTGAGCACAAATTGAGGGCTTCTCTCGTATGTCATGTCTATATGTTTTTAAATACCATCTGAGTGGTCTTGTTCGGGTGGGTATACACAGGTTGGACAGCTGGCAGGAGAGCGATACCGTGTACTTGGTTTAAGACAAGCTGGCTCCATCTGATTGCTCTGTTGAAAAGGTTGCAGAAAGCAATGACAAATTTCTTGCTGGAGTCCATAAAAGACAGAACTCTCTGATTCTCTTTGTATGTCCCGTTAGCAGTACTTTCTCAGTAAGGTAATAAAGCAGCGCAGTGCTGGACCCTATTGCCATGGTGATAGGAAGGTGGGCTGGAGGTGATTCCTGATGAGAAGCATGTTTGCATGAAGCCCTCTGGATTAAGGTACCCTTTCACTTACTGGTTCATTTATGTCTGGGCAAAGGAAAGAATGGAGGGTTTTCCCGTGGTTTCTGGTGAGTGATTATGTAATTGTTCTCTGGATGATGGCTTTGGAAACCAGAACCCAACTTGAAGCTGGCTCTTAATCAAGAGTCGTAACAGGGCCCGGCGCGGTGGCGCAAGTGGTTAAGTCCTCGCCTTGCACGCCCGGGATCCCATATGGGCGCCGGTTCTAATCCCGGCAGCCCTGCTTCCCTTCCAGCTCCCTGCCTGTGGCCCGGGAAGGCAGTCGAGGACGGCCCAAGGCTTTGGGACCTGCACCCGCGTGGGAGACCCGGAAGAGGCTCCTGGCTTCGGATCGGCATAGTATCGGCCCGTTGCGCTCACTTGGGGAGTGAATCATTGGATGGAAGATCTTCCTCTCTGTCTCTCCTCTCTGTATATCCGCCTTTCCAATGAAAAATAATAAAAATAAATCTTTAAAAAAAAAAAAGAGTCGTAACAATAATAATTGCAACCACGAAAAGAGAACTGCATCACAAATATGTATTGTGTTTCAGCTAATTCTCTGTGTTGGATATATAAGAGTTGGCAAGTAGGCACAACATGATACAGATTTTTAAAAATGAAGAAATCCTTTGCTGGAAATTGAGCCATGTCATACTGCGGTACAAGAAGTGAAGACAGGAACGTTTATTCAAATGGCAGTGTCTCAGTTGTTCCTGTGCAATTTCTCAGGCTCATTACCAACAGCAGTTCTCTTGTCCATCAAGTAGAGCATGTTGATTAAACTTTGCTCTCACTGGCAAGCCTGCACTGACTTTTGGTTTAAATGGACTGGGAATTTGTGTTATTCATGTTATATGCTAGACATGACTATGATATTTAATTGTTCTTGGGTGTTCAAAATTTATAATTTAAAATATTAATTTCACCAATCATATACTACCAAAATTATCCTTATTTTGCAAAATAAAGTGAAAAAGTGATGATTCGTGACTTCTGTTGTGGAAAATTAGGGAACCCATATGTAAATTTCATCACCCAAAGGTATTCAGAGATGTCCCAAAATATAATAATCAGGAAAGAATGGTCTATACTTTAATAGTTGGTGAAAATGAAGGTATTGATTCAATTTCCTTTTAGGTGATATGAGACATGGTTCACCATGCTTCCATGATTCCTTAAATTATTTCTTCAAGAAGCGCTGCATGATTTCTGTGATAAACTGATTCCAGAGCAAGGCTCAGAATGGTAAACATGGGTCCATGTGTTCCTTTAACCAAGGGCTAATTCTTTTTGCTCTGATTTCATTTAACTTGGTAATTGCTTATTTGTGGAAATAGTTTTTAAAATAATGAAAAGTGTGAATGTGGAATTTCCCAAATAAACCTTATGCTCACTTCAATTAAATCTTTAAGGAAAAACTTTTCTTTAGATCTTGTGGTTTGTTGGAGGTAAAAGTGACAAAGTTGGATGATTTACCCAATGTGTTTGGAATCCATTTGCAGTCCTCTTTCTTGGAGCTTCCTCACTAGCCAAATTCCCTACATCTCTCACAAAATCAGGCAATAATCTTACGGCCTGGTGCTTGACCCCTTTTGGCCTCTTAGCAGCTTCTAGTTTAGTGGGAACAGGAGCAAAATTGCTTGACATGGCCTCCAATGCTGA